CTCTGACAGTGACAACGTGCCACCACTAGCCCTTGCTAAACGTGCCTGTGGGAAATCAAGTTTGAGCCACTGGGACGAAGAGACAAGACCCCAGCAAGCTGCCAATCCTCATTCTACCAGGCCGACTCAAGCCCATCTTGTCTGGATGAAAAGACAGCATCCGAATGCACTGTTCACCCGCTATCATCCCCAGCCAAATCCAGCCCAACTTGCCGGGAAAAGGAGACCACGCCCCAGCATGCTGCTCACTGTCATCACCCCGAGTCGACTTGAGCCCATCTTGCCTGGACAAAATACAGCACCCGAATGTGCTGTACACCCGCTATCACCCCTAGCCGAATCCAGCCCAACTCCCTGGGAAGAAGAGACAGCACTAGTGCAGGTTGTACATTATGCCCCATCAACCCAGGCCGACTCCAGCCTAACTCACTGGGACAAAGAAGTCACACGCCATCATGCCGATCGCCCCCAGGATTCCTACGTCCAGCCCGGTGAGACCATAGCTCCTGGCAATATTCCAGCAGATTGAGGCAGATGTTGACGTGATTGAAGGCGAACTTGCATTGATTAAAGAACATTTGGGACTAAAAATAAGGCAAGAGATCCAAAACTCATAAGTATATAAGATGAGAGGGTACTTATCACTAGATAGTCCTACGTGACATGAGCAGACAAGTTTATTTAGATATTTTTGATAAGGCTTCTTGGCCCGAAGGACCTTGTTCTCAAACTAATTTTTACAGCGTGTTAACTGAAGAAGAATCAGCAAGGAGTAACTTCTTTGGAGGCAAAGTTATTTCTAAGGGAGAGAATGTGGTTGTGAAACAAGCACTGAAGCACAACCCGGTTTTTCAGGCAGATTGTGTTCAGGTTGGGAAAGAGTTTCCCAGTACTCATGGAGACGACACATTTAAGAAGTCTCTTCGGGAAGCAGTGAATGAGAAATGTAGAAAACTTGCAACAAAACTAGGGATTTAAATGGTAAATCAGATAATCTACTGGCAAAATTGCTTGCATTGATTGACAAGATGCAGGAGTTAATAAGGGGCACTTAACCATTAATAATTTTCAGTTGTAACATGTGTACTTATCAACTTAATGGTTACAACCTACTTTTCATACATGATAGTGTATCATTTTGTTGACAGCGTCTTTCAGCAAGAAACATCCTACTTCATTTTTAGTTTATTTTTTTACGACAGTGATATAAAAGAAGTGAGATGAACTTTCTTTGTCAAGTAATTCACACATCTTAAAAAGCTTATTGGTGACACATAGGACCTTGGCTGACAGAAGGGCGAAGGTTGCATGGATTGTGGTTTTTAATTTTCTTGCTAAACTTTGTCAGCTCTCCATTGCAGGCCACTCACTAATCTTTGCAGCAAGTCATGGCAGACCTTATGGCTTAGGAGGGAATCACTGTCATTTACATAGCAATAGCTGGTATACAATAGATAGTTTATAATGAGCTTCAGCCTGGAATTTTGCACTGTGCAGTGCCACATCCACTGGGGAGATTAGAGGGGAAAAAGAAGTGGACCACTCTGCACCCATAAAGCATAATATTGATGTCTTACCTTATGAGTGTTAATATCTCATGGACCCTTCATTTTGGACTCTCAATTTTCATTTCCTTCTGATGGATGCATGCAGCCTGACTTTATTGCCCATGCATGTGGTAAAATGGCCAAAGTCCTCCAATACAGGGACATCAACGGCCACTCCAGACAGGACAAGGCTCATTTTCAATACTCCAGAAATGCGTCAACATCATTTGCATGTGCTGGAGTTGTGGACTTTCGCTATGTGCAAGTTACATCTAACTTGGCTAGTCTTCCGGCAATAACTCTTTGCTCGATAAAGATGACTTCAAATCTTCATCTAGGCTACGTAGATATTTCTCTTCACGGTCTCCAATCTATTTCATCTCTTATTGAAGTACCTTCCTTTTTATACTTCAAAGAAATCTTTCCCTGTTGTCCGGCCCCCACTGCAGTCATACTTGGGGTCCCTGGACGAAGAAAAAAAAAAGGTCACCTCTTTTTCTAAATAAACCTTGGGGTTCTCTTGTCTGTGTAGATCTCCGCATAGAACTTTTGTTCAGGAATGGGTGTGGTAAATTTCCATGTGATGGTGTTGATTTAATTCTAGCCGTACCTATACAGGAGAAACCTTTCCCAAACAAAGGATTTGGGTGACAACATCTGGAACAATTCTTGTCCTTCCCTCGCCGACTCCACACACCGGTGAAATACTGCCTTGTCCTCTCCTCAATCCTCTCAGGCAGCGCTAGGAGATACAGACCACAAGGGAACATTGACCTTGCCTACATTCTCTTGGGTCTGACGCTAATGGCTACATCACTTCTCAGATGGCCTCAATGCCTGAATTTTTAGGTACTATCTACAGTAGTAAGGTCCGAGCAGACATCCGCCCAGTCAGATGAATACCTGTGTCTGCTCATTTGGCTACCCTCTCAGATTCATGTCTGTCCCTTCAATCGGCCCAACTCATTGAACTCCAATCTTTGTTGATAATTATTACGTGTACATGGGTTCCGTTTACAGTAGCTCAACCCCTGTCAGATTCAACCTAGGCATCATTGGTGGATCTAAATTGTTTTACTTCTCATTCCAGTCAACCCATGGGAATTCAAGTTCTTCTACTTCATTGGTGTTAGAGGAACTCTTGAGTTTTAACCCTGTCACTCTGTCCTGAGGGTCCTCACTCTGTTAATCTTTTACCCCCTACCCCCAACAGCCAGCCATTCCTGCAATTGAACACCTTGGCAACTGGCTCTTGGTAGGCAGGGGTACAGATGAGGCTGGAGCTTACCTTAGTGTCACATATGAGTTCACTGGCCATGCTGGATTCTTAAGCAATCTTGAGATTTCTGTCCTTGTACATTCTCCGATCTAACTAAGTTTGGCTCTTGTCCTTCCTCCGGGCCTTTATCACAGGAGTGCTTTGGTTGCCACATCGTCACTTCAACAGATAAATTGCCACAAAGGTAAGCCCTCACTATGCCTTGGCCTCCTGACAAGACAGATGTTTCTATGAGTCTGGACTTCAGGATTAACCTTAGGTAACTCATATCGGCATCCCCATAATGTCGTCCCTTCCTTGGCATGGAGTATCTAGTTGCTGTTCTGTGCCAGACTCCCTCACCTACAAGTCTTGGTCACAGACAACTCCTTTTTCAACAGAATAGGGTCCTTTGTCTACGTGCCCCCTTCTGTTATCCCTTCTCCGGCAATTCTGTCAGAATTGGCTGGGAAAGACATCTTCTATTCATCAGGTCTAAACCCTGAGGCCTTGTTTACCTGGATTCCTAGTGTATGTCTACACTAGGAGTAAACAGTTCTCCATTTTTGCATGGTGTGATGAACAGTGTGGGGCTCCAATTGAAACTCCAACAGTTGCAGCAACCAACTCTTTCTTCCTCCTTCGTGACTCAGAACTCCAGTCAATAATCACAATCACATGTAGCTACCGTCTGCTGTCACAGCTACCTAATGTGTTTTCCCCATAAACTTCCTGTCCTTGATAGACAGCACTATCCTTGGTACCCTCTCCCTGATGTGTTCATTCAGTGTTTCCCTCCTAAAAGTTCATACCCGGTTGGGACTCATTACGTGTCCTTGAGCTCTTCCATGGTCCTCCCCTGAGTCCTCTGTAGAAGCTTCACCGCCACACATTTTCGTAAGGCCAACTCTACAATCATTTACCTTATGCTACCTCAATATGGCATGGCAATGAGTTCTTTTGTGGCGTGTCTATAATATATAGTGTCTATATAATAGCCTCTTCACTGAGACCATGAGGACCCGTACTCTATGAGCTATCTCTAACTCTACGCCATATTTATGGGTATCCTCCTGTCATGGTCTCACACACTTTCAGTGTATCCTCACCTACCCTCCTCCGGGGTACGGTGCTACTCTGCATATATAGTGACTGTTTGGGTAGGTTGAGTGCAATGGACTGCTCCCCCAAAGCTGTCTGGGAAGAGTCTGCTAATGAATACCTACCCAAACAGTCATAGCTCTCCCGTCCTCCCCACTCTGGCTCAGACCTCATACTCTGAAAAAGAAGGATGAACATGGGGGCATGGGCCTTGAGAGCGCACTGTGGTTGATGAAATTTTAAGCGAATAGAATCAGAGGCAAAGGAAATTTGCATATATAGTGACTGTTTGGGTAGGTATTCGTTAGCAGACTCTTCTACACTGCTGTGGGGGAGGAATCCAACCGCCAAGAATGCAAACTCAACCAATGACATGACAAATTTCAGCATTCTGAACGCGGAGTGAATGGACTATTCATGTTTGCAGATTAACATACACCATTCTTGCAACGTACGGTTGTCATTGTTGAGTGCTCTTTTGTTAAAAACAGTTCGCGGATTCCAGCGGACTTAATCTCCCAGAAAGAATGGTCAGGCCTTAGTGGTAAGCCCCTTTAGACACCACAGCTCATGTAGGTCTGCTGATGTCCTGTTTTCTGCAAATCCTGTCAGAGTTCTTAGTCTATTCATTTGACAGGTAATTATCGTCTCAAATCTCTTATGATTTGGGGAATTTATTTGCTCTCATTACTTTATTACTGATGTACCATTTGGTCAATTTGTAAAGCACTTTGAGATGTGTGACTATGCCTTAAAACTGCATTATTAGTAGTATTAATTAAGACGTATGATATGACCTGTTTTCTGTAGCATTTACCAGTACATGTTTTTCAGATTCACATCGAGAGTGAAATGGTGAGTTTGAACTGTTGGTCTTCAGCAAAAACAAAGCAGCAAGCTGTGGTCCTGTTTTAGGATGCTCAGACTTACGATGATTTTTTTAATGACACGTTTTACAATGCAACTTTGACTTTGAAGGAACATGGCATTGTTAATTTAACATTTCTGGCTGCGTGTTGTGTTGTATGACAGAGCTATTCCATAATGCTTTGTTCCACCAAAGAAAGATCTATTGTTGTTTTCTAAATAAATAGAATGTCCAAGAACTGTTCAGTGAAGTTGCATCACCACATGAATGCAGTCGAGGAGGCATGTAAGTAAGCATTCCCTATCTTTATCAAAGTTATGAATATTACTTGGAAAAATGATGTTCTTGTAGGAACTGTTGAAGTGATGCAAATGGAAAATGCTGTGTCTTCCTTTGGAAAGTTTTACCAGCAATGGTACTAGATTACTTGGAGGAACTACATTATCATTATCATCATAACTTATCCTTGGTAACTTTCAAATATGGGTGACGAATGATTTTGGAAAAACACATTTCAACAACCTTTTCTCACCTTAAAATGCTTATCTTTATATGTCTTCCTACTTACATTTGCAATTTTTGAAAAGAAAGCTCCATGATTTTCAATGAATTGCTTCACCTTTCGCTGTTGTAGTACGTGCGCAAAGCTCAATGCAGTAAACAAGGCTTCGCTGATTTCCGCCACGCCTATGCAAAAGAAGGCATGGTGGAAATGTGCCAATCAGTCAGTCCTGGTTGATTACAACCTTTTCTCACTTGACCCTTGTGATTGGTCGTTGTTGTCCGAAAAAAAACATTTGGTGGGGTGATTAAAATATGTGTACAATGTGACGTCAGAATTTGTTTCCTTGTAACTCAGTCAATACTTTACTTGGTGATGTAGTCTGTTTCAGAGATCTGACACACTGTGAGTCTTAATTTGTTTTTAGTTTGTTTTTATTTTATACAACAACTAACTGTGTGACACGCCAAACATTCCTTTATATAGGAACCCTGCTAAAGTGAATAATAGCCCTCTGAATTAATAAATGTATACACATACCATCATGATCTTATATGTAAAGGGATGTAACAAAAAGCTTTTTGTTACTTTGATTTTGTAAAAAACAACACAGGCTGGGGAAGTACTGTGAATAAAATAGCACAAAAAAATTACTTTATGTTGACTGTGGTTCAGCTAGTGTCATGACTTTGTTTTCTTGCAAGAAAAACCTTGTACAAAGTCCGACGAATTTTGGATAATAGACCAGAATGAACAAGAACGAAATATTTTAATATATAGAAAAACATGAAGAGTTTTCATGCTTGGGGAAAACCAAATCAGATCCTGCTAAAACTCAAGCTTCCAATGGTTGTAACTTGTTCATGCAAGTAGAAGCAGCTTTTTTTTTTTTTCTTTTTTTTGGAGAAAAGGGCCTTAATTTTATTCGCCTTGATCCGCCAGCTTCTTTTAGATGACCATCAGTAAGCTTCATTGTGTATTTAATAAAATAAGCGTTGGAGTCAGCGTAAACAATGGATGACAAATATCCCCCCAACTGGGACCCCACTTTTTTGCTTGCAACTGGGATCCCACCTTAACTGGGATCTCACCTCAACTGGGATTCCACTACAATCCCACCTGGAAATGGGACCCCACTTCCATCCTGTTTTTCAGACGTATCCCATTGGGATCACACTGGGATCCCACTTTCATCCCAATCACTTTTTTTCTTCGGTTGCGGTTCCCGTACCAATAGAGAAATTCTTTGTGGTGGCTCTCATGCCGCCTGAATGTAAGCGCATGTGATCCAGAGTGGAAGGACGTTTAAGACATTGGTGAACAATAACAATATGGTTCAACTAACAGCTACCCAAAGATGATATGAGGGGAATATTTTCCTCAACAAATCATGCATCTATCTTACAGGTTTTCATTTAAGACAGCACTTATTTATTTTGTTTTTTTTTACTAGGGTAGCCCCATCAGTTATCAATAAACTGTTCTTCCTTGGGGCCCTTGGGTTTAATAAAAATATATGAAACTGCAGTATTTAGTAAGTAGAGTTGCAAACATAATAATGGTTAAAATTCATACACTGCTATAAAAAAAACAAGGAATTAAAGCACCTGAAACCCACCAACAGTTTACAAGTAGTATGTATATTTAAAAAGTTACAAAAAGTGAATTAACAAATTTGAGTCTCTAGTAAACAATATTAGGTTTATCCATTACTGAACCACTGATTTCTAACTGCAATCCAGATGATGTAGAATATTTGAATTTACAATCCACACCACCCCTCAGAACTTACTCTTATCCATCTATTTATTCCCCCAATAACGAGTTTTAAAAGCTTTAAGATTGATTGCTAGTGTTACAGTAGGTGCTAAATTGTTCCAAACCTTTCATTACTTGAGAAGAAAGGGCTTCACCCAAAATCTCCCACAAGGGACTTTCCATTGAGGCTAGAATGGAAATTATCAGAGTCATGGATTCTTGTCTGAAGGAAGCTGATATTAGTTAAGTTGTTTTCAGTATGTTTTCAACAACCCTCAAAACAGAGCTGATGATCTGAAAACTGTCTCAAGACTTTTAAGACTGCCAAGTGTGAATCGTCCAAGTTCTGACTTCCCCAAAAGGGAATGTGCACGGATAGTTGTAAAGATGTGGAGGAGACTGTGTTCCAAGAATCTATCGGTAAATGACCCTCTTCTAAAGGAGAAAGCAGAACAGTTTGCCAAGACTGTGGGTCATGAGATCTTTGCTGCGATTTCTGGCTGGCTGTCAAGGATTGTAACAGCTTGAAGTTCAAAGCAGGTTTATGGCAAGAGTGTGTTGGTGTGTTAGCCAAATGGGATCCTCAAGGATCATGCCACTGCACTTTCAGTTTGTTGTTTCTGGTATGTCTGTCCTTCCTCTTGCCTCTTCATCTCTGCCACAGCTACCCTTCTGTGAACCACTTTTCGTCACGCTCCTCTCTTGGCAGCAAGTTCATCCACTCCATGTTCTCCTATTAAGCAGTGATGCAGGTCGTCCCACACCTTTTCTTGCAAATGGAGTAGTGGCCTCCTCTCAATATCGGACTCAAGTGCTGACTTCACAGTTTTTGCCTGGAAAAAAGGGGTAGTATTGACTGTGAGGCCTCATTTTATCAGGCCCTCCATGAACTGTGGTGAGCAGGGTACCTGATAATACAGCTAACCGGTCACTGCAGTAGGACACAAAGTTTCCCTATACCCCATTTGGAATACTACAGCCATCACACTGCAACCTTCGGTGTAAATGCCTTGGTAATAAAGCTATAATAGCTACAATTCACAACTACCACTCGGCCATCTCTGCTATACACAGCAGCTTCACCAACAGCTTCACTTTTTCAGATGACAAAACTCTAAAACACCACCTCTTTTGGATGTTTATTGAGCACCCCTCTACCCCACACCTCATCCTATCCTAGGATCTAACTTGTGTCATCTAGCTTCTCACTGGCCCTCCTTTGAACCACTCAGTAACACATCCTTGCATCCATGAAGCTGGCCTTCCAGCTACATGTAGCTGTAGCTGCATCTCGCAGAGGTTGTGAACTTTGGGCACTATCTATTCCTGATGGCCACATTCGCTTGGAACCTTAGAGCCCACCTCATTCCAGCCATGGTTTCCACCCGAAGAATCAGACTGCATCATTCCAACCACCAGGAATTTTCATTCCCAGCATCACTTCGCACTCAGGTACGAGTGATGATAATCTCTGGTGCCCAGTTCGCACTCTCAAATGGTACTTGGCATGAACCAACAGAATTAAGAGAATACATCGTTACTATTTATGATAACAGTCAAACCCCATCGTTAAGGATCTAAAGACACAATTGCCCAATGGAATGTTTCAGCCATTAAATTTGCCAAGTGGAATTGGTTGACCTCACTCGGTGATGAACTCTCTCATATTCTAGCTCATGACATCAGAGCAGTATCTATCTCCCGGGCCTACCTTCGGGGTGCTCCATTTTCAGACATATGCAAAGCAGCTTGCTTTAAATCACCCACTACCTTTAACTCATTGCATGACGTCTGGCAAGCGGACTGTGTTCATGGCAAGACAATACTCAAATCAGAAGAGATTCCTCATCAGGACAGACTGCTACCAAGTCATTTTGACAGCATCTCATGGTGAGTTCCCATGAATTACTGTAACCTTAAGGATCACTTGTCTGTTCGTCCTTTCTTGCACTTAGAGTTACCTGGTGCATCCACCTCAACCTGCCTCCTAGGATAAGTGCTACTCTGCATTTAGGACTGTTTTGGTAGGTTGAATGCAGTGGACTCCTTCCCCACAGTAATGTGGGACAAGTCTGCAAGAGATTACCTACCCAAACAGTTCACACCTGCCCACCCTCCCCACTCTGACTCAGACTCTCAAGCACTTTTGAAAAAGAAAGACAAACATGACAGTTGTGCAACAATGCCTTTTGCTAGAAGGGGGTGCACTGCAGTTGATCATGTTTTTACAAAGGGCAAAAGGCACTAAGGGAAACTGGCATGTATAAGACTGTTTGGGTACATTGTCACAGATGATGTTGATTTTATTTCTTTCAGATGTCATTCTGTCTTTGTGTGTATACCGGTAGTTTCTCTTTTTATGCCTTCCTATGACATGCACACAAGAAACAATAACTGCGTGTGCACTTATCTTGCGCTAAAGAAATCGGCCAACCATGTTAATAAATATTCATTTTTAAATTCAAATGAGACCACAGAAACATTTGTCCTGTATCTGTAGAAGCACCTCTTCATTGGTTGAACAGAGCCAGGTTGGTCGGAAATGTTCAGTCGATCGCCATTTTGTTTCTTTTGACACGTCGACACTCACTGCAATGCATGCACTCCATGTACCAGTTTACACTTGCATTACCTTGTACATGCTGTTTGAGCCATTCCTACTTTCAGTGTCTGTGCATGCATTCTTTAGCATTTCTTCATTAGTCCAGGCTATCCAGTCAGGTCCAAGGTCGTTTCATTTCATTTGGATCGTACAAGAACTTGAAGAGAGCGAGATAATGTCTGACTCATATTTATCACAGTGTTTATTGCAAACAAGGCAAAATCGTGCCATGCTTGGGTGTTCTCACTATAAAAAATATTTGCCCAAGTTTTACATTCTTCCATTTTCCACTTGAAATCAAGTAAGCAATTGCAATTTCAGGCATGAATTAGTTTGTCAGGAAGGTCAGGTCATCACAGGTGAGCATCCATTCTGTTAGACTTGCAAGACATGTATTTAATGATTGACTGATAGATTATGGACCTAATTTTCAGCCGTTTCGTTACTTTTAAATTGTGTTTGCTTATTTTGGGTATACAGGTAAGGTTGGTACATGATAACTGAACGATTGTTTAGGCCTACTTTTTGGTAGGCTGTGGCTAATAAGGTCCTATTTTTGTTCAGTGTGATGAGTCATTCTGTGTGCTATCAGTAATGTCTGTGACTGTATATTGGCCAGGTCCCTAATTTTGCTACCTTTTTGGTTTTTGCTTGTCAAGTCTCACTGGTTTTCACAGTATGTGGCAAAATAAAATAAATGGTGACTATACTGTCATGGACATCAGAGGTGTACATCGGAACATGGAGACTTCAAGAAGTCTATTTATTTGAGGATAAAATGTGTACAACAAACTGGACTTTTCTTCAAGTGGGCTTGCATTGAAAAGCCTACATACTATAACTACATGTAATTGTCCCCCATATGTTTGGTTCAATTGTTTAAGTTTTATTGATAGACTTTGCAATACTTTGTCACTCTATTTACTGTATGTGTAGGATTTATATTTACAACTGTTTTTGATGTGGTCTTTTTGTGACCTTTTATTTCCCGTTGCAGCTTGTCCCAGAAGTAAATGATAGAATTCTTTTCAACAACATCCTAGTATGCCTCTTCTGCTGAATCCAATAATGGAGGAATAAAAAAATGAAGGAGAAATGAAGTGGACTGATGGGAAATACAGGCACGTTGGACTTGGCTGATGCCCACACTTCCCAGCATCTTCATGAAGCTAGATATTTCTTAGTGGTCGATTAGGCTTTTGCTGGCATGAGTATCGACGGGAGGCTGATGGATGCCAAGGACCTTTGAGCCGAGGTCATCGAGGGAAGCAGCCAGGTTACTCCAAATTTCTGAAGGGAAAACAAGCAACAGCCAACAGTACAATTTACGACAGATGCACAAAAAGCGTCTATTTACATTTAATAAAACAAGTTTGGCTAATTGACAAAATAAATAGGAATGGTTTGTAGCAACTCTCCAAATACTGACTGATTCAGTGTCAAACACCGAAGGTGGCCACGAAAAACCCCCTGTGGGGGAAACGTGGGTGTATCTGGGGTGCACTCCCCCGGTACTGAATCGGTTTGGGAACTTAATTTTGGGGATATGGGGTGGGGGATTCGTGTAACAGCGAGGTTGACTGCTTGACTAAGAATGAGCTGGAAGCCCACGCTTCGCTAAATATACATAGGATGATTACGTAATAAAGAATGTGGGTTATTCTGGAGTGTGCAGTAGGCTCGCACCTGTCATGCGAAAACAAAAAGAAATTCCACGCTTTGATGCGAAACATGTTCAAAGTATTTTTAATCAGCAATTGTTTCCAAGCTTCCTGCAATAATGCAAGATCCTAAGCATCCCCTTTACGCTTCAGTGGTTGTCAACAGATCCTGAAGAATCCGCACCCCAGGCACCAATACAAACGTTTTATAATGTCTTTTTTGCTTAATGCTTGCCACATGTTTATTTAAACGATAAACCCCGCACGTTCCTGATTAGTGATGTCCACCCCGATGCATGAAAACAGTTGTTATCTGTTTAATCTTTGCTTTTATGAATGTCGGTTTATATTCGTTGTATTAAATAAATGGAAATTCATTTTTTAATGCTATTTACTATATGTATAACTTTTATGTATAATGCACACAGGAAACAAATTTTCATGGTTTTCTAATGTGACGATGTAATAAATGTAATGAAATGAAGTTGGACAACAGAACATGACAGCTAGTTCTACCAGAAAAGTTTGTTGATGATTTTCAGTTGTTAACCACTTGCTGCCGGGTGCTTTTTTTAACCGTTACATGCGCTGCCGGGCGGTTTTTTCATATTTTCGTTTTTCAAAAATTCATAGCTTTTTTTCTGAATGCCTGAAGCCCATAAAATGAGTGTCCCATGGCGAGTCTAGCCCTCACAAGCAACTTCCATTGACCCTTCGGTTTTGCGACCACGCTGCCCGCTCTGTATAGAGCCCCCATTGTGTGTGTTACATAAGGGCTCGTTTGTTCC